TTCATGAGAATACCTGATCTGTTATTAGGTTTCACAAAGTTTATGGTTGACAAAATAGATTCACATAGCCAAGTTCCTCACATATTTAGAAGTTTTCTAAATACTGCATTGAGCTGTTAGTTTTTAAACTTAAGATCAATTCAGTTGTGCTGGCTACATTCCAAGTGCTCCACGGCACACGTGGCTAGTGGCTGCTGTACGGGAGAGCGGAGATGCAGAAAAGTGGTTTGTGTAGGGGTGTTCCCAGACCAGGAGCAGCAGCTGGGAGTTGTAAGTGCAAATTCTCGTTCTCCCCCAGACCACAGAATCAGTAACTCTGGATTGGGGCTCAGCACTCTGTGGAACAGCCCTTGAGGTGTTCAGATGCACACTGAGACTTCAGGACTACTAGCCTAGTGGAAACATCAACGGCCCCTTACACACACCTGCATGGGACAGCCCACTTCACACCTAGGCTGCCCGGCACGGCCTGTCGTTCCTCAGCCACGACGCTGCACGCTGTGCTGGGTACTGCAGGCAGTTGTTACACACGGTATTTGTGTTTCCAAACATACCTAAACGTACAAAAGGTGTAGTACCGCTGGATAGGAGGAACAGTTCTAGTGTTCTGTAGCACTGTAGGGTAATTAATTTGTTGTACATTTTCAAATAGCAGAGTGGATTTTGAATGTTCCCAACACAAGGAAATGATAAATGTTTGTGGTGACAGATTTGATAATTACCCTTATTTGATCATTGTTTTATACATGTATACCATACTGTACTCCATAAATACGTGCAATTATGGCAATGCAACTAAAATAAACATAAATAAAAGCAAAAAATAACCTGTGTCAGGTTAAGATAAAAAGGTATAGTAAAACACAGCATTATACGGGACCACCGTCTCGTACATGCAGCCTGTCATGGACTGAAACATTGTCAAATGGCATGAATGTAGTTCTGACCGCCTATTTGTAGAATGGAAATTGAATACAATCCCATTTTATTTTGAAGCTATGAAACCAGGGAAAAGAGGATGTAACTGCTCGGATTTCTGCTGGTCCAGGCACAGTGAGCTGTCCCACCGGGATGTCCAGAACGTGTAGCTGGGTTACCAGGACGGATCTTGGATGGCATCTCGTTTCACCTTACTTCCTGACACTCAAAGTCCCAAGAAATGAGAACATATTTTTTTGTACTGAGTTTTAATTGGAAACATTAAAAATAGCTTAATGACTCATGATGAATTATGAACCTTTGATAATTAATTTGTACTGTCTTTTATAAGGCATTTATTCTTCATTATTTAGGTATACCTGAAAGAAACAACATACTTGTGTTTTCTGTGCCCCACTTCAGAGGAAGATTATGAAGAGAGGGTCTAAATTACTTGTAAGTCAAAACCCACCTGGGTTAGAAATGAAATATAAAGGCTGGGTGCAGTGGCTCACGCTTGTAATCCCAGCACTCTGGGAGGCCGAGGAGGGAGGATCGCCTGATCTCCTGATCTCTCAGGAGTTCCAGACCAGCATGAGCAAGAGTGAGACCCGGTCTCTATAAAAAATAGAAAAATTGGCCAGGCGTGGTGGTGACGCCTGTAGTCCCAGCTACTCGGGAGGCTGAGGCAAGAGGATGGCTTGAGCCCAGGAGTTTGAGGTTGCAGTGAGCTATGCTGACACCACTGCACTCTACCCAGGGTGACAGAATGAGACTGTTTCAAAAAAAAAAAAAAAGAAATGAACTATAAAGAGAACTAAATCTCTACACAGCTGCTGTAAAAGCAGAGGTGGTTTTAGCTCATATTTTGGGTATGAAACAATTTAGCTCCTATCACTGGAAACAAAGGCAGGTGCTGATCGTGAAAACCCCAATTATTTTTAGCCTCAATTTTCCTCTCCCCTGGCTTCTTGTCTTCTGTGCCTGAGTCTTGAACAGGTGCCACGTGAGAGGATGTCAGCAATAGATGGGCCAGGAAGTGTCAGCAAACATGAAAAGGCAAATCCGGCCACAACTATACAGACAGTCCACCCACATAGCTGTTGATAAATCCAGATATTGCAGAAAAACGAATTCCCTGAAACACCTGTCCGGCTAGCTTCCAGCCTTGTAGTCTACCCGTGGGGGCGGCGAGGTCAGGTGCTCCAGCACGATGGCAGAGGCGGGCAGTAGAGCGCAGGCAGCAGGCCTCGGGGCAAGGGCAACTGAGGCTCAGTGACAGTAGAGGCCAGGGTCTGCTGGGTCGCCTGGCTGGCCTGCCAAGCCTGGGAGTGCAATTGGAACACTCTCAATGTGTCATCAAGGCTGTCAGTATAAACCTAACACTAGTGTTGATGTCCGTGTTCCTACGAGTTCATCACTTCACCAAGTCATGGCCACGAAGCGTGTACTTGCGCATCCCATAAACCCAGGACTGTGGGCACACACCCAGCTTACAACCGCTCCACCCCCTTCTATTGGGTTTGCTGCTCTCCAAACCTGTAAAACCCAGCCCCCATAACCTCCAGCACTGGAGGATGCCCTCTTCCTGCTATTGTAGTTTTAAGTCACTTCTGAAGTTTCTATTACTCCAACACCAGACAGAGCTTTGTCTTCAACAGGTGGCATTTTGTGACTTTCTTCTCAGTGTTGAAATCATGTCCAGGTGCAAATGAACTGCCTCGAAGGCTAGCTTGTTACTGACAATCATGCCTATTTAAGAAGTCAGTGGTGGCAAGGTCAACAACCAGCAGTCCTCCTGTAATCCTAGTACCCTGGGAGGCCGAGGCGGGCGGATCGTTTGAGCTCAGGAGTTTGAGACCAGCCTGAGCAAGAGCGAGACCCCGTCTCTACTAAAAATAGAAAGAAATATATAGAAAAAATTAGCCAGGCATGGTGGCGCATGCCTGTAGTCCCAGTTACTTGGGAGGCTGAGGCAGGAGGATCGCTTGAGCCCAGGAGTTTGAGGTTGCTGTGAGCTAGGCTGACGCCACGGCACTCTAGCCCAGGCAAAAAGAGTGAAACTCTGTCTCAAAAAAAAAAAAACAACCACCACCAACCAGCAGTCCTGCCAAACACCTTTCCACAAGGTGGAGTCCCAGCCCCTCGGTGCCGGGGATGCTCGCATGGCTGCGCTCTCAGGGACTGTGGGTGGAAGACTGCAGGCCCCTCTAGACAGGGACCCTTAGCAAGGCAAGTGCTCAGACCACATCATTACAGAAGCCACAGGAAGACAGAGCTACAGGCAGCTATCTGGTGTTTGATAGAAACTTCCAGAAAACCAAGTCCTCAACTGGCTCGGCCCAGGGCAGAGTTGTCCTCTGATCTGGCTCACTCTGATCCTCTGCTCTGTAAGCCACTTTATTTTATTGGTACAGTAACTTAACCCACCTTGGAACATAACTTAATATCCTTCGAATTGTTTATTTTGCCAAATCATTTGTATATTTCGCTGGAAAGGTTTTGATAAAGTTTTAGACTGGTGGCTCACGCCTGTAATCCCAGCACTCTGGGAGGAAGAGGCAGAGGATTGCTTGAGCTCAGGAGTTTGAAACCAGCCTGAGCAAGAGCGAGATGCTGTCTCTCTAAAAATAGAAAGAATTAGCCAGGTGTGGTGGTGTATACCTATAGTCCCAGCTACCTGGGAGGCTGAGGCGGGAGGGTCGCTTGAGCCCAGGAGTTTGAGGTTGCGGTGAACTACGATGACACCACTGCACTCCAGCCTGAGCAACAGAGTGAGACTCTCTCTCAAAAAAAAAAAAAAAAAAAAGTTGCAGACTGTTTGCCATGAGAAATATGAAGGTACCAGAGCACAAAAGTTATCTACAAAGTTGAGATGACCCACAGGCAGCTAAAGTGCCAGCTTGGACAGAGAAGTCATGCCATCGCTTTACTTTCCACCTAAAAGAATAGTTTTTTAGGTTTGTCTTGATGACCTATTAGTAATTGGTCAACATCAGGGTCTTACAGAGAAAGAGAGGTGCTTCAGAAACCAACTACAAATGTTACTGTTCAATTAGACCTCGTGCTGGAACAAGCAGCATTTGTAATGTGGGGTTCCAGCCCTGTGTCACCTGTCCTCATGACGAAACAAGTTGGTGATTGACTGCACAACGACCTTTTAGTATTCCCTACTGGGATGAAGAGCTGCTGCAGCAAATGCAAGAGTGACCATGTGCACACGTACCACTCAGACAGTACCTGAGCTGCTGGGACGGCCCACTGGGAGACGGGGTGTTTAGAGGGCCCGATGGCTTAGATTCAGCAGCTCTCACTGATGGGCACCTGGGGAGGTCAGATGGTGTTCACTCAGCCCTTGCACGAGGTTACAAAAAGCCCACATGGGTGTGTGCAGTTACCCCTCAGCCTGGCTCGCGGAGAAGATAAGAAATAATCAAAGGCAAGTGGAAAGTAACTTACGTTTCCATTTTTATTCAACAGCAAGTTTAGGGCAATGTTTCTACTGATTTGACAATACCAGCGGTAGGGGTTGAATCAAATCCCCTCCCCCCCAACCAAAGATATGCTGGAACCCTGACCCCAGTCCTCACAATGTGACCCTATCTGGAGATAGGGTCTCTACAGAGGTGAGAGGTCACCAGCATGGACTACAGGACTGGTGTCCTTTAAAGGAACTTAGAACACAGGCACATGGCAGACCACGTGAAAAGGAAGGCAAATCATGTCTACACATCAAGAACACTAGAGATTGCCAGAAAACCACGGAAGCTGGAGAGAGACATGGAGCAGATTCTGTCTCAAACCCCAGAAGCCGGCTTGCCAACACCCTGGCCTTGGATTTGCAGCCTCCAGAACTGAGAATCAATTTCCATTTAAGCCACCCAGCCTCTACTGAAAATAGAAAGAAATTAGCGGGACAACTAAAAATATATATAGAAAAAATTAGCCAGGCATGGTGGCGCATGCCTGTAGTTCCAGCTACTTGGGAGGCTGAAGCAGAAGGATCCCTTGAGCCCAGGACTCTGAGGTTGCTGTGAGCTAGGCTGACGCCACGGCACTCTAGCCTGGGCAACAGAGTGAGACTTTGTCTCAAAAACAAACAAACAAAAAAAGCCACCCAGTTTGTAGTATTTTACGGTACCCACAAAATACTAATGCAACTAGAATCCAACTTTAATTTTGTTATATTCACCCAACTGTAACAGCAAATATGTAAGATCCAACACTTAGTATGGAGCAAGGCTCTAGGTCGCTCCACTCCCCACCTTAGAGGTTACATGAGTTCCACTCATGTTACTGTGCGTTCAAGCCAGCCCACGCGCGGCTGGGAGTCTCTTCTCACCCAGCTTTGTTGGTGGGGCGGCTTCCGTGTGCAGCTGTGGTCCAGGGGATGTCTGTGCTGGATACAGAAATTGCCACGACACTGGTCACAGGCCACCTGCAACATCTCTTTTTTCTTGCATCCCTCTTTTGAGCACCGGTATGTAAAAATCTGAGAAAGCAAAGTTATTTCAATAAGCAATTCTTTAAAAACTCAATAAGACTATTCATTTTAAAATTAGAAACAGCTTTTATCTACACAGAATAACGATGTCAAATTTTCATTCAACCATCTAGTGTCAGGTAAAGAGATGAACACTAAGGAGGCAGAAAGGCTTTACAAGTGGCAATATACACAGGCAGCATTAATGCTGGGGATTCATGTCAAGATGGACCAGAGCTGTTCCCAGGAGACGAGAGACAACAGGGGCGTCGGGACCTGGGAGGGAAGGCAGCCACGCAAGGGTGTGATGAGCACAGCTCCACAGGGCAACTGGCTCCGGGGGGCTCTGGGCAGTGGGGCTTGCTCCCGTCAGTGGAATATCTACGTCCTCCAAACCCACTAGTCATTTTCTTTGGGTGGGGGCAGGCGGTGATATAACGTCCCAGGTACTTGCACCTCCCTGTGAATATAAGGCGGCGAGCAACACGGAGAGCGTGTCCAGCAGCCTGAGGGCAGCCCTGCAGCAAGGCAGGTGAGCAGGGCTGTCGTGAGTAGCCATGCAGGAGCCTCTGCACGTGCAAAGTGCAGGGATGAGGGGGTATGGGCAGAACATGGTGTCTGGCAAGAGGAACGCGAAGGGGGGTGCACCTACACCAGGGTGGGCAGGCAAGAAGGACCTGGCAGCTCTGGGTGGAGCCAGAGAGGGAGCCGTGCCAATCTGGGAGAAGCAGGTGTGCAGAGAACGCTGCAGGCTGGCTGGGGGTTTAAATGAGGGCAGTGGGGCTGGACAAAGCCTCCACACAAAGGGCTCTGTGGGAATACTAGGCAGATGGAGTAGATGGGGCTTTGTTCTCAGGTTTGAAGTTGAAGACAAAGTTAATGGTCCTCACATGCATAGTAATGTAATTGCACAGAATATAAAGTATTAAGACAGTTGATCACTACAAAACATGATCTATGACTAGAAACTAATTTAAGCTTGACAAAAGCCAATTCTCTAGAAGAAAAGCTCTTTAAAAAACCAGAAGTGCCCATGTGCTTGTTTCAGAGAACAAGAGGACAGGAGGGGCCTTGCACCTGGAAGAGCAGCCAGCCTCAGACAAGAACCTGAATGAACCCAGAGGGCCCACGGGAGGGCACAGTGCAGAGCTGGCCGGCCCAGAACCAGGAGAAGGCGGATGGGACACGCGCTCCATGGGAGTCAAGCCAAACGTCTCCCCTTGGACTTCTGGCTAAGGAGGAAGATCTGAACACGTGTAGTGGCTCTGCCCCTTCCTGAAATAGCATAAAAGTCACAGAAAAGATATTCTGAAAAGAGATAAACCCTCAAGGGCAAAGAGTAAGGAGAAAACAGCTCCAGGATTTCAGAAGCTAAAAAGCACTTGGACGAGTAGCAATGGACTTGGCAGAGAATGGTCAAGACATAGGCAGACAGAGGCCAAGCAGCAACCCTGTTCTAGAAACAAAAACCCCAAAGACTCAGAAACTGGCATTGGAAGCACAGGGTGAGGACTGCAAGTGGAGAAGTCGCTGCAGGTTGGTTAGGAAGCAGACCCCAAGATCTCCACCCTGCGCCAGGAGCAGGCTTCTGGTGTGGCTCTCTGTCCTGGGGAAGCAGGTGGGGAGGACCTCAAAGGACATCAGCAAGCTCACACACTCAGGGGCTCCAGCTGTCTCCACACTTGATTCCCAGACTCTGCAAGCCAGGAGTGGGCCCTCCAGAGAGGAGACGGAAGAATGGAAGATGGAGCTCAGGAGCTTCCTGAGCGACTGGACCAGGAAGGTAAGAGACAGCAAAGGCCAGAGTCCACCTGTGCTTTATAAGCTACCAGCTCCAGAGCAGGCAGGGAGCAAAAGCAACCCGGGGCAGAGCCTCCAGGGAGAACCCACCAGCCCTAGGCCACAGTACTAACAGCCCAGAGAGGAGACAGCAGAGGAAACCACAGAAATGCAAGAGAACATTCCAGAGTCCAGGAGGGTACACTGCATGCCCAGTTGGACTTAAGCTAGGAATGTCTTGATGTGAACCTTCCAACTATGGGAGAAGGAGAAGATCCTCCAAGCTGCTGGGAGAAAACCGGACCCACAGAGGACCAGTCAGGATGGCCTGGGAATTCTCTAAAGCAGACACAGAGCAAACATCCTGTAAAAGTCTCCCTGTCAAACATCCCAGGGAGACTTCAGATCTAAGATGCTACACCCAGCAGCTAATCAAGTAGAAGCTGAGAATAAAGACCTTGAGAAATGCATGGTCTCGACTTATCTTCCACTCTTGCTCCCAGGAGGCAACCAGAGAATGTGCTTCCACTAAAACATGGGAATAAACTCAAACAGCTAAACACTGGAAATGTAGATCCAGAAAGAAAGGCTGGGGGCTCTCCAGGCTGCGGTCCTCAAGGCAGCAGAGACCTGGACAGGCAGCGATAGCACAGCCCAGCTCCACGGGCGGAGAGCAGGTGTAGCAACATCAGGACGAGGGGTAGAGCTGAACCGCAGCTACACTGTGAACAGGTGACGCCCGCAACTAAGAGCAAACGGGACAGACCCAGGAAGCAACACCACACTTACAAAGAGAAAGGAGACAACACACACAAGACTTGCTAAGGGTGGAAGGCGGCTGCTGGAGGGGGCCTGGGGCCTGTTTTTCCTAACGGCCTTTGTTACCAATGAACAGATGAATAACTTAATGAAAACACCGATATTGCCAACACAAGAACACTGAATGTTTGAATTTTCCAGCCTCTTAAGTTTTATCAGGAGGACCTCAGAAAACAAATGCACATTAACAGGATGGTTCTACAAAACTACATTAATTCTATATCTCGGGGGAAAAAATGGTAAATTCCTGTAAAGAAGACCCTAACCTAAGACCCCTAATATTTACAGAATGTTTATATGACTCTGAAAACTCACACCATGCACAACTTAGGAAAACAACATAGCATTATTTCCATAGTTAGAAAACTGACACCCCACCCCACCCCCCGCCCCACCCCCAAGGGAAAAACCAACATTCACGGATCATAGACTCACCCAGAACCCTCCTTACCTTCTTCTTGCTCCTCCCAGGCTGAAATTTACAGTCTCTGTCCATGTGATCGCCAACCACCACATCTGGTATCTCTCCCTTTTTTACCGGGATGGGGACATTACAGAGTGGGCACACCGGGACATGAACATCCTGAAAATAGTGAATGTAGGATGACATCTGAGATTCAGACAACCAAAACTCACAAAGAAAAAGGTGCAATTGTATGGTGCACTCAAACTCGAACAGGTTACAAAAAACTTACATTCCGACCACTCATGAGAATGAATCATTGCTAGCATAAGAGGTTAACAGCAAGGCATCCCTAGAACGTGCGGTGTCTCGAGTGAAACCCAATGGAATTTACACATAAGGGACTGCAAACCAACTGCAGAAGTGACCCTAAGACAGTGAGTAAAAGGTAGCCAAGGAGGAAGCTGGTGAAATCAACCAAGGACTACCTGAGGATGGCTGTCTGTCCAGCACTGCCCAAGTGAGAGGAGAACCTACTAAACATCTCCAGAGTGGAGATGACAGAAGAAAGCACGAATCATAAAGATCCCCCAGTTTAGAAGCAAACTTATACTTAGCAAGCAAAAAGAAAAATCCCCCAGCATTTGTGGCCTCCCATGTGGCTTTCACCCAGAGAGATTCACTCGTCAGTAGACAGGGAGCGCACACCTGGACTGCATTCTCAGGTACATAATCCCCACCGCCAACTGCAACCCAAGACTGTGGGGGCTCTGGAGTGGGTGACTGGACCACCTAGCAGCTGAATACCCAGCATGCTTAAACATTTGAGCCAACAAGAAAACTGAGGTGGCAACTGACATAGGATGGATAGCAGGCAACCATGGAATTGCGGGGCCTCACTGTGGGCTAAGCTGAAAGAGCCACCAGGCAGTGCTCCCTCAGTGGACCAGTTTCCCAAATTAAGAAATAAATGTTACTAGATGACCTCTAGCCAGACTCCTCCCCCACAAAGGGAGATGGGAGGGCCCAGTGACAGAAGCGATTGGTAGTCCAGCTTGGTCATCAGTGCCTGGTAAACAAGGGCAGTGAGTCACCCTCCCCCACCCACCACGAAGGCCTAGAAAGGGCAAGAGGATCACATATAATACCGAGTCACCCACATTTCTCACCCCTCCAGGGCAAAGGAGCAGAGTTCACTGAGACAATGTGTGGACCACCAGCAACAAAGTGAATGCGGCTGGAAGCCATCTGAAAAGCCAGTCAGAATCTTCAATCTTTAGACTTACGAGAGCTAGTTCTTAAAGCCATCTTTCAGTTTCTATTGTGTATTATTTGGATCACCTAAATATGATGTCAAGGCTGCAAACTTACCCAAATGAACGAGCAACTCTAATGCCTGATTAGATTCCAAGTGTTAAAACATATCTTGTACCACATGAAGATACAGCGACATTATTCATATAATGGATCAAAGGAACCAAATATTTTAACATGTAAAGTAAGCAGTGAAGGTATAATAAGATTACAACAGCTATTTGACTTCATGATTCCCTGAAGATAAAATTTCAGTTGTTTTAGAGCCATGCTGTCCCACAGAACTTCCTGCGATGGCAGAAGTTTTCCACATCTGTGCTGTCCAACACAGTGGTTCCTGGCTACATGTGGCTACTAGATACTTTTGGCTAGTGGGACTGAGAAACTAGATTTTAAATTTTATTTAATTTTAAGTTAAATTGCCACATGCTGCAAGTGTCTACCATATTGGCCAGCTCAACTTTAGACTGAAGATTAGAACCTTCTGAATTACCTTCTTGAATGCAAAGGGACATCTGTGTGCAGCACATGTAAAATGATCTTTACAGAAATCTTGTTTACATGCATCACATTTTAGTGGAAGAAAATCTAAAAAAACAAAAACAGTAAAGTGTTTTAAAAACTAGAGGGCTTATAGATCATACTAAGCAGGTATTTACCTACACTAAGTGCTTCATGACTATGAGATAAATACATCCTCACTGACCACACATGAGAAAAGTTTTGGGGTAGTGAATTTCACAATGCCAAACAACATTCAAGAAACTATGAAGTTATTTTCTCAAGGGAGATCCCATTTCATGTGGTATCATAAGCATTTAAGCAGCACACATGTATCCACTTAGCCCTGGCGGCCAGCCTCACACCTGGCCGTAGGTGGATGCTAACTAACAATGTTGAGAAGAACCTGTGCCATGCCTGCTTCCCAATACAGAAAAGCCAGAAAGGGCAAGACACAGAATTATCAGCTAATCAATGTAATGGGACTAGTTCTCCCCCACGAAATAGCCAATAAAATACATCTTCTATTAATATTCTCTTTAAAGTGCTTACCTAGCTGCTTGCAAGTTTTTTCTGAACAATGCTTTCCCAAATCAGGAAACTCCATTATGAGAAGTATCCAAAACACCGATGGCAGAGTTCCGTATCACCTACAAGAATTAGAATTAGAATCATTAAGAGAAAAACAATGACTATTCTAATTTAGTCACCAGGATTTTAACTTAAAGTCAACACTTTCTGTAGGCAGCGTAAGATGGAGTTTTAGCGCAAATACCACTTCTCAGCCACTCAGAATCAATCCCATTAGGAGAGGCTGCTTTTCAGTCCCTTTAATTCCTAGTCTATGAAGCTCACCTTGAATTTAGATTTTAGTTAAACTATATTCCAACTCATCCTGACACAGGCTTCCCATATTCAATTTACACAGCTGCCAGTGAAAATGACAACCTCAGTGATTTTTTTTTTTTTTTTTTTTTTTGAGACAGAGTCTCATTCTTTTGCCCAGGCTAGAGTGAGTGCCATGGTGCCAGCCTAGCTCACAGCAACCTCAAACTCCTGGGCTCAAGCAATCCTCCTGCCTCAGCCTCCTGAGTAGCTGGGACTACAGGCATGCGCCACCATGCCCGGCTAATTTTTTTTTCTATATATTTTTAGTTGTCCGATTAATTTCTTTCTATTTTTAGTAGAGACAGGGTCTCGCTCGAACTCCTGAGCTCAAACAATCGGTCCGCCTCGGCCTCCCAGAGTGCTAGGATTACAGGCGTGAGCCACCGCGCCCGGCCAACCTCAGTGATTTTAAGTCACAATTTCACCTATGGGATATACTTGTTGACATAAACAAAACTGTTACAAAGTGCTAAATCACATTAGTTGACTACCCTATCCGGAGGAGACTTAACTCTGTCCCTTGCCTAACTCCCCTATGCATTGAGTTTTACTTTGAAATTATTCCTTGATGACATCAACCTGTAGCTGATCAGGAAGAAGCAGGAGCAGCTAACTCACCACGGAAAACAGGTAAACAGTTAAGGTGCCGCGCTTGAGAGAGCATTTAAGTCCACAGCAGGGCTCATGAAGTCCCCTTCGTGAAGTGGTACCCACCAAACCTCTCAAAATTCCTGTCGCTCCCAGAGTTCAAGACCCGAAGACCTTTTCTGGGTCTTCCCTTCAGCTCTCTCCACTCTCTCGGGTTGTCCTCTTGCCACTGCTAACCTCTACTCATACCCCGCGGCCTCGGTTTGAGGTGTCGTTTCCGCAAAAGGGTCTTTCCTGACACCCTCAGCACGCCCCACCTAAGGGACACACCCTCTACCCGTACAGGACGAGTATTCCTTTCCCAGCACGCAGCACGGCCTCCAACACAGATCGCTCGCTTTACTAGCAACTCCACCGAGTGCGGGGGCCGTGTCGGGACTGCCGCTCGTTTACCAGAAGGACCTAGCCCAGCGATTGAACGCAGGCGGCCCCGACCCCATACCTGGCTCTGGGCGGGAACACCGGCAGCAGCGAGGCAAGTGAACAGTGGCGGAGAAGGGACACCGGGCGCCCCTCTCCGTGGTCGGCCCCGGGGAGTAAGGCGACAAGAGCGACGACACAGGGAAAAGCCCGGAGCCAAAGACCCGCCGGCACCCACCGCACAGCGCAACATCACGTCAGCCTTAGCCCCTCGGTATTTAAGCTTGGCCGCCGAGTCGCACTCGCACGGGGATTCCCGGCGCTCCCCGACGACGTCACGCGCAGGCCAGCCAATCCCGCCCCGCCCTAGCCCAGCGGCCCCCGGCACGTCCCTAGCTAGCCGGCCAATTCCGCCCCGCCGCGGCCCAGTCGACCCGCCCATTCCTCGCCTCTCCATCCCCTTTTCTCGAAGGGTCCAGCCTCTTCTCCCAGGCGCCGAGTCACGGCCACGAGGCTCTGCGCAGGCGCAGAGGGGCCGGCGCGGTGCGCCGCAGAGCTGAGTCAGGGCGGAAGGGATAGCGCCCTGAGGCCGCCCCGACTTCCGGCCCAGGGGGTTACTGTGCCCCGCGAGAGCCGTAGGGGAACGGGCTGCGGTGGAGGCGTTCCGGGTCTGCTGTGCCGCCTCGTCCGAGCCCGTCTGCCCTGCGGTGTGACAGAAAGTCTCTGTGTTTTTGTTTTTTTAAATGTATTTTTAAATAATTTCATACTTAGAGAAAAACTGCAAGAATACTACCAAAAATGTCTTCATCCCCATCAGCTGCACTCCCACCTGCCCCGTGTCGCCGCCCCTATGCACACCTGCTACGTGTACGGGGGGGGCCCGCACACCTGTATTGTGTACACTGGGCTCTGGACACCTGTTTCGTGTGGCGGGGGAGGGGGCTCTAGGGAGGGGGGGGCTGCGCCTAGGCCAGGGATGTTCAGGGTCCCAGCGGACACCCGGGGCGGCGGGGGACGTGCGGGGTCGACGAGCCCGTGTGTGTGTGTGTGTGTGTGTGTGTGTGTGTGTGTGTGTGTCTGTATCTCTGTCTCTCTCAGGCGCCCGTTTAATACCTACTGCTGACTCATCGTCGCGAGTCCCCCCGACAGCTCTGCGACACACAGGGCAGCCGCGGTGAGATGGGGACTAGGCGGCCCTCGAGAACTCGTTTGGGGGCTGTTTAACCGGCGAAGTCAACTAAAAAGCACGAAAATGTGAAATACGTGGCACTTAGAAGGCTGCGGGAAGGACACCTGTTTACAGCAAGCGAGCTGAAGCAGCAGGGCAGTGGCCACGGGCAACTCGAGTTTCTTGCGGCTTGGCACACAATCTGACCCCGAAAGCCCACCACAAGTACTGGTCTGGGGGTTACAGTTAGTACACAGGCAAATTCCCAAATGCGGAATCCACAGGTCATGAGGATCAATTGTGTGTGTGTGTGTGTCATGTTTTGTACATGTGTATTCCTTTTCACTAGTCTTTTTTGGAACCATTGGAAAGCAGGCTGCAGACAGGATGGCCCACACCCTTGCAAACTAAAAACCCGTAAGTCCCCACCCTTGTAACCAGCCCTCTGAACAAATTTCAGTGACCCCTGTATGGTTTTGTTTATTTGTTTTAGTTTCACCACATTGTCCAATCTATGTTTTTTTGTAATCCTCTTCCTTAACTGCTTGACCTTTTGAGTTGTTGCCCAGAAATGAGAATGTGACACGTTTTTAAAAATTAAAAGCACAACACCTTGGTTTCACAGTGTGAACTGAAAATATTAAGCCCCCCAGCTGACTGAATGGACCTCCTCTTGGCCAAGGGGACCCCAGAAATACCCCAAAGCTGAGTTGCTGGCCATGAGCAGGGGGTTCAGACCTGCCTCGTCATGGTTCCTCCCTTCTTGGAGATGTCCTTGTAACAGTGAGCTGCTGAGTCATTAACAGGCCTAAGGTGCAGTGAGCTGTGATGACACCCCTGCGCACTAGCTCGGGCAACCAGAGCAAGACCTTGTTTCAAAAAAAAAAATTAAATGTGACCAGGTTGTGCTGTTTGTAAGAGGGAAAAAGTCTGTCGAGTCAGAATTTTTTTTTTTTTTGAGACAGTCTCACTGTGTTGCCCAGGCTAGAGTGCCATGACGTCATCCTCGCTCACAGCAACCTCAAACTCCTGGGCTCAAGCGATCCTCCTGCTTCAGCCTCCCGAGTAGCTGGGACTACAGGCATGTGCCACCATGCCCGGCTAATTTTTTCTATATATTTTTAGTTGTCCAATTAATTTCTTTCTATTTTTAGTAGAGACGGGGTCTCGCTCTTGCTCAGGCTGGTCTCGAACTCCTGAGCTCGAACGATCCGCCCGCCTCGGCCTCCCAGAGTGCTAGGATTACAGGCGTGAGCCACCGCGCCCGGCCGAGTCAGAATTTTTAAAATTCAGTTTTTTGTCATTAATTGAACATCTGCATACCAAGAAACACAGGGGGATACCACCAAGCATGAGCAAGGTGACCACCACTGCACCTGTTTCTTAACACATCAAGGTCCAGGGCGTTCTTTTATACACGAAGCCTTCCTAAGATGCCGTCTGAGGACGGCCTTGCAAGGCCATGATCCTCCGAGGGCAGGAAGGCTTCAGCCAATCTCAAGAAGTTGACCTGAAAAGGAGAGGTCCCAGATGGCAGTGTCCAGTTTCCAGCATCCACAGCATTACCGTGTCCATGACACATTGATTCTGCATCACAGGGCCAGAGTGTTCCTCCTCAGAGTGACCACTGGGTCACTGTTGTGATCCCTGTTTTACATCTGAGGAAACTGAGGCACAGAGGTGTTAAGAAACATGCCCAAGAGCAGCCAGGGCTCAAACCCAGGCTCCTGAGTCCACCACGGCCCGATCATGAACTCAGAACTTGCAACGTAAGCCTTTCCAATCCAGGTCACATCTGTTTCAATAACCCTTGGCCTTCTATGTGGGGCACATGGGGGGATGTGGGGCTCTACCTGTGTGCAGGGAGCATGGACCCAGGGCATCACCTTAGTCCTATCCCCGCCTGACCACACCCTGTGTCTCCTACTGCAGTCTCCTGCATGTGGGAGCCGTGGGGAGCAGACATCTCCAGGCACCAACCTCTCTGCGCCCACACTGCCCCTCCACTCCTCTAACTGTGCCCACCTTGAGCCCCCATGCACTGGGGGTTGTGGGCTGAGCACCAGGTCCGTTCTCAGGCCGGTAGCATCAGGAGCGAGGTCTCTCCCTTCAGAACTCTCCAGACTTCTCCTCCAGCCCTGGAAGTGATTTTCTCCCATAATGCAGGAAACCTCCTCTCCATCATAGTCTCAAGTTTCTTGCTCTAGGGCAAATCTCCCAAGCTCTGGTTTGTGATAGGTAAAACCCAGGCTTCTCATGAGGTCCAAGAAAACCCTTTTCTCTGTCTCTTGAAAGCCTTGCTTTAAGACTGTGACTTGCTATGAATTCTCAAAAGTTTAGATTTAACAGTCAAAGTTTTGCAACGACTTGCTTAGTCTTGGCAGTATCCACTCTCCCCTTCCGTGCAGCTGTGCGAGTGTCACCTTGTGGCTGAGTCTTGATGGCAGGACACTTAGTGCTGGAGGTGAGAAAACACATTGGCATTATGCCCACCACACATGCGGCCCTTTAACAAATTTGTCCAGCTGCAGCGTGTGGAGGGTGGACTGAGGAGAGGCTAAGGGCGCAGTAACATGGTGTTGCCATGGTCCAGTGGCCGTGGGAGGGTGGAAACTTCGCTTCCCTTCACAGCTTCCCCTGCAGGCTGGGCGTGAGCACGTGACCAGTCTTTCAGGAGGAGAGGGGCCCCCCCGATATCAAAAAAATGCCCATCAGGACATAGCCCTCCTCTTCCTGGAGATATTTTTGTGATACTTGGCAATAGTAGTCTTCTTTTTTTTTTTGAGACAGAGTCTCACTCTTTTGCCTGGGCTAGAGTGAGTGCCATGGCGTCAGCCTAGCTCACAGCAACCTCACACTCCTGGGCTCAAGCGATCCTCCTGCCTCAGCCTCCCGAGTAGCTGGGACTACAGGCATGCGCCACCATGCCCGGCTAATTTTTTCTATGTATTTTTAGTTGTCCGATTAATTTCTTTGTATTTTTAGTAGAGACGGGGTCTCACTCTTGCTCAGGCTGGTTTCCAACTCCTGAGCTCAAACAATCCGCCCACCTCCCTCCCAGAATGCTAGGATTACAGGCGTGAGCCACCACGCTGGCCAATAGTAGTCTTCTTGCTGACAGGAAGGGCCATGCCTCGGGGCCAAGTCAGAGCACAGGGACGGAAGAGCAGAGAGGTGGGAAGAACCCGGGACGCTGTTGGGACACTGACCAGTCTCATGGTCTCTGCCCTTCGCATAATGGGAGATAACATAAGCCCTGATTGTTCAAGGCATTTTTGTTGTTGTTGTTTTCTGTTATCTGCACGGGGGGCGGGGGGAGTATTTCAACTTAAGACGCATCAGCTATGAGACAAAAAAGAAAAGCTGGTGAATGAGCAACTGGATTTTCGAGTCTGGAACTCAGGTGAGAGGTCTGGTCTGGAGAGATAAAGCAGGAAATCATGCTCATAAACATGGCAATTGAGTCGTAGGTGTTGCTGGGCAAGGATCCGGCGTGGAGGGGAAGAGGGCCCAGGCCCAAAGCCTTAGGAACAGCCAGTGTTTAAAGAGCAAAGAAAGAAGTGGCAAAGTTAACTCAGAATGAGCAACCGAAGGACTCAGGAGGAAACTAAGGAGAGGGAGGTGTCGTCGGAGCCAAGGGGAGAGCTTTCCAGAAGGAGCAAGACTGCAAGTACCTGTTGGATTTAGACTGAGGGAGGTCACTGCTGCCTGTAGAACGGCCCCAGATGTGTAGGCCAAGGTCAGATTGAAATGGGTGACAAGCAAATGTGGGAAGAGGAAGCACAGTCTTGGTGACAGAAGCTTGGACACCTCATGAAAGATGACAGATGTTTTCCCTGGCCAGCAGGTCAAACAGGCGACTCCCCACCGCCCACTCCCCCGGCCACTCTCTTTTCTGCTTGGACACACAGTTAATTTACCTCTGCATTCATAATTCATATCCTCAGCAAATATTTACTGGGTACCTGCTGTGTGCACAGCACCCTGTCGGGCTTCAAGGAAACAGAAGAAAAGATTAGGCTGGCTCCTGTCTCTTCCCAGGAGCTTATAGTCCTGTTGCTCTTGTAGGAAAAA